AAAGATTTCCCAGTTTCTACCAATTGACATGGTCCCTACTTTTCCTCCTTACCAGAATGGATCGGAATGTCCGTTTTCTCCACCAAAAGGAAAACAGAGAAATGCTCCGGATAATTCAGAAGAGTTTCACGGCGAGAAAAAGCTTGAATTCAGTGACCCCTGAATTGGCCATTGCTTAAACTGTCAAGCGAACATCAGGTTAGCCGGTCAACTCGGTAATGCACTCTATTGCTGTGCCGTGCACTTCAATATTCCCCAGGTTTGTGTAGAGAACATGACATCTTGGCCTACGACATGCAAATGAAGCTGTACAGAAACCCTGATCAGGCAGAATTTCCTGGCCCCAATTGAGATTTACAAGTACTCTGTACCTCACTCTGAATGCTGACGGATAGCCGTTCCGTATAACTAAGGTTATCTTAGCACGAGCTGACCTCTCACCTCGGTTGATCCCCAAACAACGACATTTTCACATGTCGAGATACTCGTAGACTCTTCAGCCATCTATGCGATAATTCGTTATTCGTATCTCATGGCCGTCAGCCAAGATTCCAATGATCTCGATACCTTTTCAGAGGCGATTCATCTTGACTGAATTATTTATCACAGCTGTCAAAGCTCCACAAACAACCAGGGGTCGGGCCTTGACCAGATTTTATCTATCACCCTTGCCCGCTGTCTGAGCTTTTGCTCCCGCCTTTTGTAACCAATCGACTCGTATACAATTCCACGTCGTCAACAAAATCAGAGACGGCCACGATCGGGGACCTTGTCTGGGCCGCTAAGCGTGCCCCCCCCTTTCAATGTGGTCGACGTCGACGTTGTCTCCTCCCGGTTTGCCCCGTTCTCCCAAAAGGGATTGATTCACATGTCGATGATCTCCAGCCCTAAGCCAGCTTGGAACCACTTTGACCCGCATAAGCTTGCAGTCGAGTTGAAAGGGCTGGTGAATCGTGAGGCTCGTCTAGGTCACACGCTTTATTTGAACACCGCCAGTCGCCAATGAAGCCCGAATGTGTGACAAGACACTGGCAGCCCTCAAAATTGATGACGGGTTTTGTGTATCAGATACACAGACAGATCTAAGCCACCTTTTGTGCAGCAGTCGGCCATGTCCCGTTAGCGGAGGCAGATCCATTCTTCAGGCGGTGTGAAAGATCTAGCTAGACTAAGAGGCTGAAGAGGCAACCACATTGATAGGCAGGTATTAAGCATGTAGCTACATAGCATCTTGCATATCCATCGATGGCAAAATCTCAATTCTTTTTGGAGGCGGCCAGCTTTGTTGTCCAGAGTCATGCCACTGCTGTTATCCCAAATCCACAGCTACGCCGGCCGAAGTTGGGGAGCGGGGCCGGGTCTCGGCAGCTTACTGTATCTTTCACGGATAGGTATCGGCGAGTAAAAATCAATGACAGGCCTTTGAGGCAGAAGAAAAGAACATTTCGGGAACGGCAATTTATCCGATGACCAGATTACAGAAGCTTAATTGGAGTAGTGACAATACTAATCGCGGGCTTGGTGATGGTTCAGCCAGCCCCCTCCGCAAAAAATACCAAAGCTGCTGCAAGCCTCATCAACTTGCAGGACAAAAAAGGACACACCACAGGCTCGTGAATGCTGTTCAGCTGCTGTAGGACAAGCCATGAGACACCATCAGACGGCTACCCCGTCACTGTCTTGTCGGGAGCGATAGATACATGGGAGGGAGCTATTGCCACATTTCAGGGGTGGGTTAGAAGCACGACCCGTTTTCTAGCGTATTTTTCTGGGGTAGGGATTTTTTGGTCGCGACTCAAGATTCTTCCTTTGAAGCGGCCGTTTCATGTAGCAATTGTATGGTATGTATGTGAATTTGAGAAACCTGCTGTGAATAGATTGAAAGTTAATATTATTGATTAATTTGAGAAATAATATTAGACTGTGAATTAACAGAAACTGAGTTTTTTGGAAGCTTCCTCTTCACTTGTGCAGACGTGTTACTTTGTCTCACTCAGGGACCGTCGATCTTTTGCCAATGACAGGGAGAAGCGGTAAACTGTATCGGACTGCCTGCACAGCAAAAGTAAAAAGTAATTGGACCTGTCAGTTTCATTTCCATTATCGTTCCACCCTCTGTTGCCCGCATTCGCCGCATTTTCTGCTTGCTTTGTGTTGCCGCTGCGCTGAGAGGTGAGAGGTCAGGTTTGGGTTGATTGTCCGTTGTCCCGCCCGCCCACGGCAGCTAAGGTACAGTACAGTACAGTACCTATCTACCTGCCTTTTTTCAGGCTCCACGCCCCAACAAAACGCTTTGCCGAGCAAAGCATCCACGCATTACAGTTGTCAAGGGACACTTTAAAACTTCAGCCCCCCTTGGCCGTCTCGTATCGCTTTTTCCCTTTTCACCTGTCTTTCTCTTTTTCTTTGACAGTTCTTCTTCGGCATCTCGACTTCTTGACTCTTTTGTCTTTTGTCGGCCGTGAACCCTTCTCCTCACCATGGCGTCCGTTTCGACTTCGGCTCTGCCCAAGCAGAACCCTGCTCTCAGACGCACCGTCACCTCAACTACTGTGACGGATTCTGAGTCTGCCGCCGTCTCTCCTTCAGACTCTCCTCGGCACTCGGCCTCTTCCACATCGCTCTCATCAATGTCCGAGGTCGATATCGCTAAGCCCAAGTCCGAGTATGGTGTTATGCTCGACACCTACGGCAACCAGTTCGAGATTCCCGACTTTACCATCAAGGACATCCACAATGCCATCCCTAAGCACTGCTTCAAGCGCTCTGCTCTCAAGGGATACGCATACATCCTTCGCGACATTGTCCTCCTTACCACCACTTTCACCATCTGGTACAACTTTGTGACCCCCGAATACATCCCCTCCACCCCCGCCCGCGCTGGTCTGTGGGCCGTCTACACCATTCTTCAGGGTCTTTTCGGAACTGGTCTCTGGGTCATTGCCCACGAGTGCGGTCATGGTGCTTTCTCCGATTCTCGCCTCGTTAACGATATCACCGGCTGGGTTCTTCACTCTTCCCTCCTGGTCCCCTACTTTAGCTGGCAAATCTCCCACCGAAAGCACCACAAGGCTACTGGCAACATGGAGCGTGACATGGTCTTTGTTCCTCGAACCCGCGAGCAGCAGGCTACTCGCCTCGGCAAGATGGCCCACGAACTCGCTCACCTTACTGAGGAGACCCCCGCCTTCACCCTCCTTATGCTTGTTCTCCAGCAGCTCGTCGGCTGGCCCAACTACCTTCTCACCAACGTTACCGGCCACAACTACCACGAGCGACAGCGTGAGGGTCGTGGCAAGGGCAAGCACAACGGCCTCGGTGGTGGTGTCAACCATTTCGATCCCCGCAGCCCTCTGTACGAGAACAAGGATGCCAAGCTCATCGTCTTGAGCGATATCGGTATCGGTCTGATGGCCACTGCTCTGTACTTCCTCGTCCAGAAGTTCGGTTTCTACAACATGGCCATCTGGTACTTTGTTCCCTACCTCTGGGTTAACCACTGGCTCGGTAAGCTTTTATCCATTACACGATTACGATCCATACTAACCTCAATAGTTGCCATCACCTTCCTTCAGCACACCGACCCTACTCTTCCCCACTACACCAACGACGAGTGGGACTTTGTTCGTGGTGCTGCTGCTACCATTGATCGCGAGATGGGTTTCATCGGCCGCCACCTTCTCCACGGCATCATCGAAACTCACGTCCTCCACCACTATGTCAGCAACATCCCCTTCTACAACGCCGACGAGGCCACCGAGGCCATCAAGCCCGTGATGGGCAAGCACTACCGTGCCGATGTCAAGGATGGTCCCCGTGGCTTCATCCGTGCCATGTACCGCAGTGCCCGTATGTGCCAGTGGGTTGAGCCCAGCGCTGGTGCTGAGGGTGCCGGTAAGGGTGTTCTCTTCTTCCGCAACCGCAACAACGTGGGCACTCCCCCCGCTGTCATCAAGCCCGTTGCTTAAGCGGCATGACGGCGTCGGATCGGTTATGGAATATCTAAAATTGTTTATCAGCGTTGATTGTTCCAAGTTGGTTTCTGGTTTAGAGAGCTAGACAAGTTTCATTCATGGGAAATTCTTGCCATGGCAATGGCTGAGATGAGGTGGAGGTTGAAAATAATCTGACATAACATTCAAGTCTGATTGATGAGCGATATGATAGAGACAAGATAGACGAGACTCAATGAAAAAGAACAAACCATTACTGATTTCCTTGGAAGTTGATGTCTTCGGAATTGGGGCTTGCTTTGTTTTGAGAGGATTGTGTTTGGTTAATGTTAAACACGGGATCCTCGGATCTGGCAAGTGACCTGATATGATCAGAATGCGGGGAAGTTACAGCACACGTGCCTCTTAACCAGACTTGATGTCGGCATTTGCTAATATTTTCGTAATTTTGTGTCTAACTTGCTGTAACCCTTGAATCAGATCGAGTATCTAAAGTTTGCCAGGTTGTGTAGATAATTCTCCGAGTGGTTGTGGCTTGTGAGATGTCTGTTGAGGCGCCTTGGAGTCCTTGTTACACAGCTGCAGTGCCCCCCTGCATGCCAAGGGCCATCACGAATCGGAATGCCATTGCTATGTAGATATCCCTTGTCTTGACGAAAACTCCTCGGACATGACTTCTGTTCTTGTAGGGTAATTTCTCACTCATGTTGGAAGCAAAAATAATAAGAAAGTACCTTATTAATTGATGTCGACGTCGATGATGCATCTCAATACCCACCCGGCACTAGATGCAACCAAGTTGACTAGACATTGAACAATTTCGTTGTTACACAGCGTTATTATTTCCGTAACACCTTTTCCATCGTCAAAGTGATTGCATCCCCAACAGTGTTACTCATTTGGAGACAGGCAGAGCCTACTGTTCCCTCAATCGTTGGCCTTTCCATTCTTCAGATTGGAGAACTGGAGGTGGCTTGCAACAAAGCGATTACTTGTTGGCCTAGGTATATAAAGCACAAATTCGTCGCTGATGAGCATCCAATAAGATCCGGTGTGGTGTATCGGTTATCATTCCGCGTTTTCATCACTGAAAATCCGCGGCGAGGAGGGTTCGACTCCCTCCATCGGAGTTTCTTTTTCCTCATATGATCTACTATTCTATTTTTTTGTGATCAGATCCTTATCGTTACAATAGAGAAGTGCCATTTGCATCGTTTTCTCTCGGCACTTGAGTTGGCTCATCCTTTGAAGCCCAACATAACGGGCAAGTTGACTGAGACCTTCTTCCCTGCAAGTGAACCTGGGATGGTTGTGGGGCCCAAAATGATTCTATCGTTTGATTCGCCGGATCTTGATCCCGTGGGACAGGCCGCGGGTAGATCTCGATAACTGGGAATAAGGAAATACTCAAAGCTGCTTTCGTCCGGATGCACCTGATCACTCACCCAGTCGTCAAGATCACAGAGAAACGAGCGAGTTTGGAGAAACCCCAATTCCAATCTAACTTCTCACTCCAGTGATGTCACACTTTCTCTACGTGCCCCAGGCTCAATTTGTCAAGGAATGTGGTTCAAGGGCGACCAACAATGCGACAACTGCGATTGGCTTACCAGGAAATTTGATCACATCGCAACAGAAAGGCGTTTAACTTGGCAAAGCGTTTATTCCCGGGAGACAGGATCGTGGACGGGCATGTTTATTCCTATGGATTTGGATATGTCGTCTTGATCGACACATCATCTTCACAGCCAGTTACAGCAACAGTCCTCTAATGCCTATATTCTCCATAGGTACACCAGGTTGAGCGGATACCTACTTCTTTTGAGTTCCAAATCGTTCTGTTCATTATCTCAAAGGCCATCGAGCCCTGAACGTAAATCTTTGTGAATGTTATTTCTGACTTGAAACTATTGTCAGAGAAGAAGTCTATATTATGACTCGATAAGCAGTCTGAAAATTGACATAACATCCATCGTATTCCTCATTGATAAGTATGCTGTTACTCGCTCTCGTCATACGTCATTAAATTCCAATCATCACGAACGGTGATCAAGGGGCACATGATACAGTCATGACACCCCAGCATCCGAGAGAACGGATCTGAGATGTATTGAAGCCAAGGCGCAAGAGAGTTCGAACTATCGCAATAAATTTTCGGATCGAACTGTCCTGAAGTAGCACTTGATCCTACTATTCTGACTTACGGCAACTTCAGCCGGTACTGGAAGCCGGATTTCCGTCATTGAGATGGTACAAGACAACGAAGGATCTACATGCTCGACAGTTTGTTAAGTTATTACTAAGCTCCTTTGGATCTCCTTTGAACATGATCTGATAATGATGATCTTAGCCGTGAGTCTCGAACATGACGTTGGGAGCGGTTATTGTAATGGTTGAGGCTCTGCGAGCTAGTCCTAGGGCGGCGTTGGCGTCTTGGGAAAAACGACCTGTCAGAAAATAACTTGGATTCATGTAGATTCTTGGCAAGCCTATTGACGTGCCTGATCTTTATAACGATGCGTTTGTATGCTAGTGGGGAATTATATGCATAACTTAACTATCACCGTTGAGGATGTTTTGTCATGTAACCTGCAAGGCACGGATCTACTAAGCTTATTCCCACAAACGGCCACTCAGAAATCGCTTATTTTGACCGATTTCAGCTTAATGCTATCTAATTAGAGCGGGTTAAGAATAGGGAAATGTATAGCCTCATCTAACGATACTTTATACTGATAATGAATGCGAAAAAAAACCCTGGCTTGAGGCTGCGCTAAGAGAAGCCACCGGAAACAGGAACCGGAAAAAGTGTCAGAAGGCAGTGACATCAGAATAATTATTTGGTCCAGGAAGGTTTAGTTCATGAGAACAACTTGAGTATGTCGGATCTCAAACGGATACTAGGAACTACAAGAGCGTTTGCTTGGCCTTCGAAAAGCTATCGAATGGTCACTCTGCTAGAGAGGGAAGAAAAATGAAAATCAAAGACATAAAAAGTATATGGAGTATTTGCTACAGTTATGATATGATTTTGAAATATGCTTCTTGGCTGCACTAGGGGCCCTCTGCTCCTGAAGAGCAGATATGACCGGATCTATTGTAACATCCACCCACCCACACTTTGATTTGAGCGAGGAATGCAGACTCGATACTCCATAAATAACAAAAGACAGCCGTTGATGTCGTTCCATACTTAGTAACAACAAGGTATCACATATCACAATCTAATGCTGATCAAACGAAGTGAAGATCAGAACCGAGAGCGGTCACCTAGAGATAGCCTCAAAGATCAACTCACAAGATCTAATTTAGATCACCAATCAAGTGCTTTGAGAATGGCACCTAAAGATTACAAAGAATGGCGTAAAAGTCTTCCCGTTGTCACACCTAAAGTGGTGGTTGCCTTTGACATTTGAGGTCATCGAGGTGGTACAGCACGCCCTAGATTCACTGCACTTTCCCTTACTTTACAACTCTGTATATGTATCTGACTATCCTGATTTTCATTCTAAGTTAAATGATATTTGTACCATACAAGTTTCTTTTTGATCGAAACCAGGCCGCAATGGTAAACAACCGGGCTGGTTTGAGTCTTAGCCTACCCGTTTGTGCCGCCGAAAACGGGAGCTCTCCTGAGTAACCAAGCAAAGTCTGGGGAATTGAGGCGCACATCAGAAGCAGTCCTTCAGGCTTGATCCCGGCTACCGAGACATTCCCGTACCTCGACGATCGACAGCAGCCGCCCACTTCTTGAAGATTTTCAGCTGCTCACCCCGGATCATCATGTTGTCAAAGCTCATCCAGAGCATTCATTGCGAATTTAACTTGTCAACCGGGCGCTAATTCCTGATGAGCCCGCTGTGAACGTTAGCGGGAGCCTACAAGGTTTACTCCATGACCGGAAACATGACGGATCCGCAGTTTAATGGAGACAGGACTTGAGGTTATACCCGGATATCATCTGGCTGAGTGTGAAAGTGGGACGGAGTTCATTCTGAACAGCCCTCCCAAGCCCATGGGGTATGTGAGAAAGTACTGTATTGATCGGTTCCGCTGATGACACTGACCGCGACAGGTATGCTACAGACTGTTGGGAGCCTCCAGGCCCATTACACTTCCGCCCATGATGTAGTTGCATATTGCGTCCTAGAGTTTAGGGTCCTTTTCCCCAGGAGTCCCTGGACCCTTGATATGACGACATGCCATCACGGTGAATGAAAGGCCGGTGACGAAGGTGCCTGGGCGTCGCTCGTGGAAGCCTCTGCACTTAGCTGTCGTTCAATCGCTATATAGTGAAAGGATCATCTCGTTGGCATTCTGTGATGATCGAGGTTGATCAATACCAAGTTCAACAACACAAACATCAATCATGGCTCCTAATATGAGCTGGCGAGCCGTGGTAGCTGGACTTCTTGCTCTCTCACCTACCCCATCCCATACTCTTCCCTGCGACAGTGAGCCCAACCAGCAAACGGGCATGCTATATGCTGGAGGCTGTCCTCTTCCTGGCGTATGTACCTGGGGAAGTTGTACTAGCGTCACGATAGGACTAGACCCTACACAATGTGGGAAACGTGGCAACTCATGCAAGCCTGGAGAGCTCTGCGTCGCTGGTGGTTGTTACCCTCTCGACCTTGGATCAAATACCAAGAACTGCACTGCCTCATCAAGTTCCGACGGCTCTGGACCGTGTCGACCTGGCCAATGGTGTGACGATGGAAAGTGTTCTCCAATCCAGGTGACAGCAAACTCTCGTCGTTGTGGTGATGCAAACAAACGATGTGGACCCGGATCTCTTTGTGTCAACGACAAATGCCAAAGGATTGACATCGGCTCAGACCCCAAATCTTGCGGTCCTTCAAATACGACCTGCAGCCCGGGTAACTGGTGCCTCGACGGGACCTGCGTTCCCTTTCAACTTGGAACCAACGTCCAAACCTGCAAGAGGAGCAGTGAATGCCCCCTTGGCACATCATGCCGAGGCGGATATTGTCGCCAAGTCTTCATCTCAACCGACACTTACAACTGCGGACTGGGAGCCAACCAGAAGAACTGTGCTGATGGCCAACTATGTGTCTCCGGACAATGTAGGTCTCTCAACATAACTTCTGAGGTTACTCAGAATAAGACTTGTGGCTTATCTGGACGAAAGTGCCAACCCGGATCCTTCTGTTCGAATAACGAGTGCGTACCTATCAAGATCTCAACTGATCTGTCGCAATGTGGAAGCAGCTCCAAGTCATGTGGCAGCAACCAGGTGTGTGTCTCGGGTCAATGCATCAGCAACCTGACTCACCAGTCCAACACCCCAAGGGTCGCCTGCGGTGCTGGGTCTGGAGGCCCTGGAGCACGGATTCCTGGTGCAGATGAGGATGAAGAGAGACAGTCAAACGAAGGAAGCTGTTATACTGGAGACAGCGACAGTAATAGCGACAGTGAATCGAATGGCAATGCCTCGGGAAATCGTGGCGATGATTCTGAGGGCCAAGATGGGGACTCGTCTCAAGGTTCAAGCGGCCAAGGAGGAGAGCCTTCCAGTGAAAATGGATCACCAGATCAAGATGATGAGGCTTCCAACAATGGAGGCTCCGGCGATGAAAGCCCCTCTGACACCGGAAACTTATCGGATGCCGCAACCTCAGCTCGACCACAAGAAACTGCCGGCGATGCTGGGCGAGAGGGTGGAGGTTCAGCTTCTGGAGACGATGCAGAAGACGACACAAACGGATCGTCTGGAAGTGGTTCTGCATCTGAATCGGGCTCTGGCTTAGGGAACAACAGTCAGAATGGGAATGGACAATCGGACCAAGATGGTTCTGACCTAAGTGGTGCTGATGGAGCATCTTCTGAGCAGAACGGAGGAAATGCCGGCACCAGCTCGCCCGCTTCAACCTGCAACCTAGCCTGCACTGGCAACACCGTTTGTATCAACAACCAATGCTCTACTGTTAAAGACCCGTCTTCCTGCGGAGCCTCCTCCAGCCGTCTGCTACGTCTTCTTCGGAGGCAAGCGACATCGGCATGCCAGCCAGACTTTGCCTGTATCAACAACGAGTGCGTACCGGCTAATGGAGCGGTCAACTGCGGCGCATCAGGCGTTAACTGCCCCATCAACTATGCTTGTATCCAA